GTAATCGTTCACGGCACTCAAATAACTCAAGTTATAATGAATTTCATACGCGACATTTCGACAACAATTCGATCTTCACACGCGAAATTCACTCTTGACAGAGTAAAACTACGCGAGAAATACCGAGCGATTCGAACGCGACTTCGCAAACCGTTGTGGCGTCTACTAAACTGGCGGCGATTTGAAATGTATTTAAGCATCGAAGCGGCGGACCAATCGCAACGGCGAGAGCGCGTAACGTAAGCAAGTTTAGCGGGTATTTAAACGAGCCAATCGCGGCGCAGTAATTTCGACACCTTGCATCTCCCGCGTTATTTGAATTTTTTGCTCTCAGAATCTTCGCTTTCTCTCTTCAATGACCGAAATGTCGTTTGTTACTCACTGAAGACCAACACTTTATATGTCGTACGACGAATTTTTTAAACACTGTTGATTGATTATAAAACAGAAAAATCCGAGAATTTCTTTTCCCTGCAGTCAATCAACAGATTCCAAGTGCAAATATTTTTACAAGCAACGTAAACAAGTCTAATGCGAATTCGGGTGCACAATGGCGCACATTAAGCCCGCATCGAGCGCTGAAAATTGAGATAGCGAACTAAAAATTAGAGTTCGATCAATCAAATAAATTAAATTTTAATAGAATTTTAAGAATAATTTAAATAATAAAATAATAATTAATGTTAATAAAAATGGTATTAATAATATCAATAATAAAATAATGTAATTTAATTTTCGTTTTGATTAGCTGAATTTAATCTCAATGCGTAATCTCTGATATTGGCTTTTTAAAGCCACTCAAATCTTGTGTCTACGATAAATAAAAATCAATCTCGAATGAGAAAGGATTGATCAATCGCATTGTGACGATTATTCAAATGATTTTATTCTCTGATCGAAATTTCGACTTTTAACATTGTGAACACAAAGCTTAAACTCATATCAAATAGTGTTGGAAATTGAGAATAAAAAATTGGAATTTCTACGATTGGGACAAAAAGGATCAAGATTCAAATTCAAATTACCTGGACTAGCTGAATGCCAATTTCCTGTTCGTGATCCGTTATCACCGATGTATATTCTTCTCCATCATATCTCCCACGTAGGATTCTCTACAAAAATAGAAAAACGAAGGAAAGAAGAATCTACAAAGGCGCAATTCAAGCAGGCTAATTATGAAACAATAAGCCTGTTCTTTTTGGCTGAACTTTTGCACCAGTTCATCTTTCTTC